GCAGCTCCTGTGTACTGGTACTTCCTTGGGCCAAGCCCATGATAAATGCTCTACCTGCAGCACTTATCCAATCTTCACAACAACCCTGTGAATCAGGTGCTGTTATCGTCCCCAATTTACAGATGGGGAAACTGAGGCTCAGAGAGGGGAGGGAGTTGCTCAAGGTCAAACAGTCAGTAGGCCTCTGAGCTGCTGATGTATCCGATCCCTGTCCTCCCCAGCCCTCACCTCACCCCAGCATTCTGCAAACAGGGTCCCCTGAGGGTTTGGGGGGATGTGGCTCCAGCTGGGGAGTGGGGGACAGCTCATCCTTCTGAGCCAGCGCAGTTCCCACAGCCTGAGGCGTCCGGGGGTCTCGGGGACTGTGAGAAAGTCTCCACAGGAAATGAGAGCCAGGAGCAGCTGGGCCCCTTCGGAAGACAAGGACCAGCCGCCCTGAGCCTGAGGAGGCTGTACAGGCTGGGCCCACCGCGGCCCCCTCCCCCGGTGGGTAATCGCTACCAGATGCCCGGCCACTGACGTCACTCTGCAGGGCCGAGGGGGTCGTGGGACTCTGGGGAGTGCTGGGAATTCTTGGACCAGAATCAACATTCCAAAAGGAAATGGTGGGGGGTGTCTCGGCCTGTTCTCAGTGCCTGGCACCAGGGCTGGGGCAGGGGCAGTGCAGGGTGCCCCCGGCTCTCCTATAGGGCGCCACCTTCTCCAGGTCCCAGTGTCCTTCTGAATAGCCCCTTGGGAGTCGGGGTGGAGGGGCCTGGATCTCAGGGTGGGAGGAAAGGATGCTTGGGTGAGACATTTTAGAATGAGTAGAACTGCATTCAAATCCTCCTCGAAGGAGAGACCCTCGTAAAACAGAAGTCAGAGTGGTGCCCTCCTCTGCTCAAGACCAGCTACGGCTGCCAGCTCACTCACGGTCAAAGCCAGGTCCTTGCCTGGCCTTACGTTATCTGAACTCATTTCCTCTCTGGTCTCGTCTCCCCCCACTCCTCCCTCTAGTCCCCCACCTGCTTTATTCCAGCCACTCTGGTCTCTGCTGCTCCTCACACATGTCGAGGACACTCCCACCTCAGGGCCTTTGTACATGCTGTTCCCTCAGCCTGGTACACTCTTCCCCAGATAGCAAGAGGGTTTGTTCCCTCATCTCCTTCATTCAAACATCACTTTGTCGCTGAGACTTTTTCCAGGCTAACCTTCCTAAATTGGTACCACCAGCCACTCCCCAAACTCCCCCAAAGATCAATTCCCTGCTTGATTTAAATTTTTCCCCATAGCCCTTTTCTCTTCTGGTTGACCATATAGCTCGTTTATCCTGACATCTATGCCCCTGCGCTGGAATGAGGGCTCCATGAGGGCAGAGTTTTGTCTGCTGTGCTCATTGCCATCTCCCCAGGACCTAGAACAATGTCTAGGACATAGTTACATCTCAATACATGTTAAAATGACTAGAATTCCAACTCAACTAACTGTCATCTCAAGCAAGTTACTAACCTCACAAAGCCTCAGTGTCTTCATCTGTACAACAGGCTCCTAGTACCTCCTTTCAGAGAGTTATGGGAAGTCATTTGAAATAATGGTAGAAACAGCTTTGAGACTTTTACTTGCAAGAGGTGAAAGGGGGCCTAATGGTTAAGAGTAGGGGCTTGGGGATTGGTCAGGTCTGGGATCAAATCTGGGCTCTGACACTTAATCTCTCTGTGACCCCAGGAAAGTCCCTTCCCCTCTCTGAACTTCAGGCTCCTCACTGGTAAAATGCAGCAAATAGAGGCTTCCTCCTCACAGGGCCCATGTGGTAGAGGGCACCCACTGGGTGCTCCAGGCAGGGCCTGGCCGGTTGTGAGCTAGATCTTGATGATCTCCGGTGGAACCCTGGCCTGACAACTCCTGTGTATGAGTGTGAGTGTGGGTGGGGGCTTTTGGGGGCTTCCCTTCCTCTCTGAGCCTCCGCTGCCTCCTCTGTAACATGGACTGAGAGGGAAGGGTATCAGGGCTCTCCAGACCCACTATTTCCCTGCAGAAGGCTGGCAGTGCAGAGGGTGGGGGATGCTATGCTGGCGCTCTCCTTTTTGGGAGCTAAAGGTCCTTCATTCTCTGTGCTGTTGGCCCCTCCTCCCTCCTCATCCCCCATGATCTCAGCGGGAACTGGGCACCAGGAAACTCCTGCAGCCTCACCTCTTCCTCTTCCTTCCTTCTGCTCCAGGTGCACCCTGCCTCCCAGGGAGTAGAGGAGGGACACTGTCTCCTCTAGCTTAGGCTGCTCCCTGAGCAGCCATTGGGATGACCCCCTTGGGACACTGGGGAATGGGGCCCCCAGTCTTGCTCCGTGGCAATTCTCAGATGCCCTCCTTCTCAAGTTGGACAGATCATCAGAGACCATTCCAGGCCCATCTGGGCGGCTGGGGAGATTGAGGACCAGAGTAGGCAGGGCAAGCCTGAGATTACACAGGCAGAGCAGCTCTCCTGTCTGTTCAACAATTCCTGGCTTCCTACTTGGCCCAGAGGGCTGGTGGGACACTCCGATTCAGGGCATCAGGAGGGGGCTCAATCTGATCTGCTAACCCCACCCCCTCAGGACCCCTGGACACTCCAGACTATTAGGGGATGAGGGGGAGAATCCCTCTATTTCTTCCATCAGCTCTAGGCCACGCCTGATGCCAGAGGCACTGCCAGGACCACCAAGGTCCTTGCCTACAGGTGAGGAAGGCTGGGTCCTAGGCTTGGCATTCTCAAGGTTTCTCAAGACCGTCCTTCTCAGAGGCCTTGGCCCTGCTGGAAAGGGCCCTGGCCCTTTAAGGGCATGGGCCAGGAAGGTGGAGTAAAACCCTGGTTCTGACCATCAGCTACTGTGCCCACCGCGCAAGGAAATCTCTCTTTCCTCTTCCATAAAATGGGGATGATAATAGAGCTTCTCTCCTGGGGCTGCTGTGAGAAGTGCCCAGCCTGCGCTGGGACAGGGTAGCGACAGTTACACCGAAAGAAAACTTAAAAGTCCCCGATGCTAAACTAGCAGCCCCATTTTTCAGTTGCCCCGGAGCACGGATGTCCCCCTCAAACGACTCCCGTCCCCGCCGGCCCTCCTCGGGCCCAGCTCGGTCACTCACCCTCTGGGTCCCAGCGCGGGGCACCTGCGGCCCACTGCAGTCATGGTCCCCCGCGGTCACCGCCTGCAGCCTGAGGACCCTTTCAGCCCGACGGCTCCCGCCTTTCTCAGGCCACGGAGCTGCGGAGCTCCGGGCAGGACCCCGGGGGCGGAGCCTGACCTGTAGACCACGCCCCGGACACGCCCCTCCGCCCCGAGCCGGGGGCCGCTCCACCGCCCGCCCCTCCCGCGGGAAGGACGCGGCCGCCTCGGGCACGCCCCTCCGCCTCCGGTCTCGCTCCGCCCCCGGCCGATCCGTCACTATCCGGGGCGGGAAGGCCACGCCCCCGGACCCACCCCTCCGCCTCGCCCCGCCCCGCTCCAACGCCAGCTTCCCCGCCAGTCCGCCGCGCCGCCTGCGGAGGCCGCGCCCCCGGCCACGCCCCCCCACCCCCCCTCCGCCCCGCCCCCGCAAACTCCCAGTGCATATCTCAGACCTTGGGGTGCCTCGGAACGCCCCGGGACCTCTCAGGCCCTCTCTCCTTCATACAGTCCTTGCTCCTCCATGCCCAAATGAGGCTGAACTTAGGAGAGGCTGGCAGAAGAAGGCAGCCGGAGCAGCCAGAGATGGTGGAAAAGCATTGGTTTTATTAATCAGAAACGTAAACATTCCCTTTTACTGAGCGTCTGTGGTGTGCCAGGCACTGTGCTAAGATTTTATAAGTATGTTATTCTTGAATTCTCACCACAACCCTACAAGGTAGGTGCTATCGTCATGCCCATTTATCAGAAGAGGAAACTGAGGCTCAGAGAAGGGAAGAGACTTGTCCAAGGTCACGCAGTCAGTAAGAGGCAGAGTCTGGGTTCACTAGATTCACTCTGCAGCTTTACAAGCTCCTGCTCCCCATGGAACGGAGGTCTAGACTCAGTCACCCCAGCACACAGAAGCCGTGCTTGGGGTCTCAGGGCAGAGCCACTCAAGAGAGGTCCCAGAACCAGCCCTACAGTTACTTTTGCTCACCTGGGTTTTTTCTCTTAATTTCAATAGGTACATCTGACTGGTGTGGTTTAGACAAAGGCTCTGAGGATGAAAATCCGGGGACTCCTTTGGTTGGGGTTGAGGGGTCTCCCAGGGGCATGAAGTACGCGGCTGTACGGCTTAGAAGATGGGGGTACAGTGTTGTGGGGGAGGGTGCAGCCACTGGAGGCAGGCAGACTCCTGCTCAAATCCCAGCTCTGCCACCTGGTCTGGGTCTTAGTTTCCCCATCTGTAAGATGAGGCTAAAAATAGATTCTGTTACAGAGTTTTCAGTGAGTACCATTTGTTTTGACACCCAGTAAGATAGGCTCTTACTAAAAGGGCGCTACAGTCATATCATCGCTATTTGTATTTTTGCATGAACTCCACTCACCCGATAACCCTGTTAAGTGACAGCTGGTTTTCCAGAGCAGGTGGAGTGGTGGTGTTCCGCAGAACTAAAGGTGGTGAGTCAGGGGTGGGGGCCCAGGGCACGGATCCGTGATTGGGGTTGGGGCCCAGCCAGCAGCTGGGGGCCATTGCTGGAGGCTGCCTCGGGCTTTAGAGTCAGGTGGGTCTCGGTTCAGATCCTAACTTTGTCGTTTGCTAGATGTGCAACCTGACTGGGGCAGAGGACTTTCCCTCCCTGAGTCGCAGTTTCCTCATCTGTCATGTGGAAATAATAACAGCATTTCCTCTCCAGTTTTTTTTTTTTTTTTTGAGAATTGGTTACCAGTGACGAGCTAAGCATACTGCCTGGTTTATATTAAGCACTTGGTTGGTGTGTAGGTGTGTGTTTTTTACCCAGATGTGTGTGCTGGGGGTCCTCTCCAGGTTCTATTGGCAGGAGGCTGGAGACACCATCCCCACAGGTCCCGTCCTCACCTGCCAGTGGGGGGCACCTACCTTTCTGGGGGCACATCCTCAGGGGCTCTCTCCTCTTCTATGTCTGTCCTGGGGTTGTCAGGCTCTCCTATGGGGTCCCCCTCCACTGCTGGGGGGTTGGGTCCCACTGCTGGGGTGTCCTCCAAGGGGGCATCGGTCCCCACCACCACTTCCTTTGCTGCCTCCAAGCCGGGGGGGTCAGGCAGATCTTGGGGCACCAGATGGGGCTCAGGGTCCACCTCCTGGGCCTTCTCGGAGGCCTGTCTTGATGCCGCCTTCTTGATGCTGGGGCGAGGCATGGTGCCCATGTGGCTGTACATGTCACTGGAGCGGGCATAGGCCGGGGGGCTCTTGGGTACTGTCACCATGTCATCCTGTGTGGCCTCAAAGGTGTCAGGCTTCAGATGGGACTGGATACTGGTGGGGGCCGAGGACCGTCTCAGAGTGAAGGACCGAGAGAGGTTGGAGAGACTCCCAAGGCCCTTGAACTTGAAGAACTCTGGCAAGGGGGAAGAGGAGGGAAAGGAGTTAATGACGATTCCAGCAGCAACACTAGTAATAACAGTAAAAAGTGTGTGCAGTTCCACTCATTGAGGGTTCAAGGAGGGTGAGGGCTTCACTGACACTCTCTCTAATTGTTGTGGTAGCCCTGGGCTTGAATTCCTGCTCTTTCACATCCTAGCTGTGTGACCTTAGGCAAGTCACTTGACCTCTCTGAGCCCCATTCTCCACGTCAGTAAAATAGAGATTATAGTACCCACCTCCTATGAGCAGTGGGAGGATTGAAGAAAAGCATGTAAGTTACATGCTTAACATTGTGCCTGGCACAGAGAATATCCTCCATAAGAAGTAATGAAGATGATGATGATGGTGGTGATCACAATAAATACCTCTGCATTTGTCAGACGTGCTCCATGCACTACCTCACTGAATTCTCAGCACAACTCAATGACACAAGTTTAATCGCCCATTTTTCAGATGGGGAAACTGAGGTTCAGAGTGGTGAAATGAACTGCCCGAGGTCACACGGCCGGTGGGTGAAGCAGGTATGTGTGTGTGCATGTGTGCATGTGTGCATGTGTGTGTTGGGGCTGGGAGGTGGTGTTTGAGCAAGCCTCTGTGCACCGGGGGTGGAGTGGAAATGAGAAGGGGGTTGTCGGGAGCCTGAGGGTCCCACTTCCTGTGGTTCTGTCCTTCCTGTCAGCTGAGCCCAGGTCCTGGCTCTGGTGGCAGTGCTCGGGTGATACCATCTCCTCGCTTCCGCAGGGGTGCCTGTGAGTTCCCTCCTCCCCGCCCCCAGCTGTAGGACAGCCCCTCCTCGCAGCCACCACCATCTGACTTCCCTGCTGCCTCCAGATGAGCAAAAAGGAAAAAGCCTGGCATTTTCCACTCTCTGGGCACCCTCTGCCTCCTCAGGTCCTCACAACCACACTGGAATATAGGTAGGATGCTCGCGTTTGACAAGAGAGGAAACTGAGGCCCAGAGAGGGGAAGAGACTTGCCCAGAGTCACACAGCAGGGCTGAGCCCGGTCGAGGGCCCAGGGCTCTGGACTGCTGGGTCAGTGCTCTGGGCTTTCCTCTCGGCCCTGCCCACCCTCACCTGGTCTTAGCCTCTGCCTCCTGACAACACTGTCAGAAAATGCAGATGCTCTGCTCTTAGAAAGCTATACCATGGGGCAGGAGCTGTGCCAGTGGCCAGGAGGAGGACCACAAACTGCCTCCTTTCTCAGCACCACTTATTTTGTCTCCTGGGTACCAGGGGTCTAGAAGAAACAATAGTTGGGTAGGGAGGGAAACTGAGGCCCAGAGTCCAGGGACATGGGATTGAGCCCTGCTCTATAGCCCCATATGATCTCAGGCAAGGCTCTGGGTCTCAGTATTTCCATCTGCGGAATGCAGTCAAAATCCTTGCCCTGTACACACACCTCCCCTCCCCCACCCTGTGCTGGCGGATCCAAGGAGTCAGGGGAAGCAGAAGTTTGCGGGGACCAGGAGGAGACCAACCAGGGCAAACAGTGGCGGGTGGGTGTGGCCCCTCGGCTAGATGCTCTGGGCTCTTTCCCCACCCGGATGCTCGGTCCCAGCGTCACAGCCCCACTGCTGGTGGGAATGTGGGACAGCATCCATGGCACCCTTCGGCCCTGGCCCCAGTAACGCCCAACCTGAAACCCCGTGTGAACCAGGCGCAGAGACAGGGGGTGAAATGTGTGAAGGTCTTCCCTTGCCCAGCCGTGAGGTCAGGGAGAGCCAGAGATGGACATGCAGAGGGACACACAGACGAATGGAGAGACTGAGAGGCGGGGTGGGGAGAGACAGAGAAAAAGAGATGTGCAGAGACAGAGTCAAGAGAAGCACAGAGATGGAGAGCTGAACCAGCTGGAGAGAGAGAGAGACTGGGCCAGAGACATGGAGAGATGGTGACATGGAGAGATGGTGACATGGAAACCCAGGAGCAGAGACCTCTGGAGAGAGACAGAGATGGACAGAAAGAGAAACAGAAAGGAGACGAAGGGACGAAGAGGCGGATGCAGAGAGAGGCTGAGATGGACAGACAGAGGGACGAAGGACAGTGCCAACAGCACCCCGCACTTACTGAACTTTTTGCTGGCCTTCTTGGGCCCCTCCGTCATCTTGGCAGGTCGTGCAAAGCCCCTGGCCTGCTGGCGAATAGTCGCTCGAGGCTCTGGACATCAGCGTTGAGATGCCTCCCTCACCTCCCCTTCCCCTTTCTCGCGTCCTCTCACTCGCTTCCTCTGTGTATTTTTAAACCAGTGAAACTCCCACAGCCCCACCCTCCTCATTCTGTCCGCAGGGGCGGGGGCCGCGGCCTCCCCCAGTCCTGGCCCCTGTGGGCCGCCTCCTTGGCCTCAGCAGCGGGGCGCAGGGGGCAGACCACAAGCCCGTGGGACCTGGAAGGTCTGGGGAACAAACCACAGGCTCCGGGAACGGAGCCCACTGGGCCGGGGGCCGCTGGGGACCTGCCAACAGCTGTCAGGGGGTCTGGCCAGGGGGCTGGGAGGGTGCGGGGAGTCAGGCCTGCGCGCAGGGCAGTTTATTCTAAGCCTCAGTGCTGGGGGGACGCACTGGTGGTGGTGGATGGGAGAGTGCTGTGGTTAGGCCTGTGGGCTCTGGGACCACCCAGACCCAAGTTCAAGTCTTGGACAGCCACTTTGTCACTGTGTGATCCTGGACTAGGGAACTCACCTCCCTGTGCCTCAGTTTCCTCCTGTGAACAGATGGTATGTGCAATGCCCCCCTCACGGGGTCCAGGGCTTGGTGGAAAGCCTGGCATGGAATCGGTGCCCACCAAGGCATGGTCACTGCTCTTCAAGCTGGCAAGGACACAGTGGTAATTTGGTCTACCACACCCATTTTACAGAGATAGGGAAATCGAGGCACAGACGGACAGAAGGATTGTCCCAGCTCACACAGCAGATTGGTGGCACAGACTGGGTTCCAACTTGCCCTTCCAGGTCCCTTAACTCAGGGCCTGGGACTTTTCCACCCTACAACCTTCTCGTGTGTGTGTGTGTGTGTGTGTGTGTGTGTGTGTGTGTGTGTGTAGGCACACTCACGTGGGCAGGACAGAGATGAGGAAATGAAACCTCCCAAGACAGGTTGTCCCAGACACCTGCGGAGGCTGTCAGCAGCTGCTCGGCTTGGGGGAGCCGCAAGACCAGGGGCTTCAAATCCCAGCTCTGAGCGCTGTGGACAAGTTACTTCCGCTCTGAAGCCTCAGTCACCTAACCTCTAGAAAGGGCTCAAGTGCAAGGGACGCAGTCAACCCGCAGAGGCTCCAGCAGGATCGGACCTTGTCATCCTGGCAACCGAGGCTGTGACAGAGTGAGTCCAAGGTCAGATGGGGCCCTTCCTGCATCCCCTACAAGAATAATGACGATTAACATCTTCTGATCACTTAGTATGTTCCAGCCACAGGGCTCAGTCCTTCTGCCCTAAGAGGTAATGTCGTTACTTTTATTCCCATTCTACAGATGTGGAAATCGAGGCCCCGAAAAGTCCAAGTTACCTGGAATTGGAACCTGCTTGTCCAGCTGTGGGGCCTGAGGGCCTACCTTCCACGCCCACAGCTCCCAAAAGCCCCTCGCAGCTGGATGATGGATTTTGGTGGGGGAGGGGTCTGGCTGAACCTTCTTGAAGGGATGAGACGGAACCCGAGGCCCTGAGAGGGACACAGCCCATGAGACTGAGGCAGCAGGGTCCTGCTTACAGACCGGTCTGGATGGGACCAGTATTCAAAGTTCAAATGAAAAGGATGGGGTTTCTGGACCAAGGACTTGGGAGGAAAAGGGGGAATGACTCCAGGTCCTTCTGCTGAGCCCTGACCATGAGCCAAGGATGGAGCTAGAAGCCTCTACAGATCGTCCATTGAATCCTTACAACAGACCTGTGAGGTGAATCCTGGTGTGTCCCATTTCACAGATGAAACTGAGGCTGAAGAGGAACAGAGACCCAGGTATTCTAACTCCTATCTCTGGGTTGTTGTCAGAAGAGGGAGAGGGGCCTGTGGCCTGGTGGTAGCTGGGGGTCTTCTTAGTGGAAGGCAAGGGGTAGGTCCCCCAGCTTCTTCCCAGGAGGCAGTCCAGGAACTTGGGCTAGCTTCCCAGCCAGGGCCACTCACAACTTGCTGTGTGATCCTTCACAAGAGACTTTACCTCTCTGGGTCTCAGTTTTCTCATCTGTGAAATGGGGTCACAGTTGCCCCCACTTCCTGGGAGGATGAAAGGAGCAAATGTTGGCCCAGGCCAGTGCACTGTGGCCTCAGCAAACCCTGGACTAGGGAACGGCGGCTGTTGCTGAGGGATGGGGGTGGTTCAGGCCAGGGGCAGACTGGCACTGGCCAGGAACACCCCGGAGCAGGCGCATGGCGTGAGAGCCGGGAGTCCTGGCCCCGGCCCCGGCGCGGCTGTGTTGCCGTGGTGGAGGTGCCTTGTCAGTGCTAGGCTGGCCCTGCCGTTGGCCCGGGCGCCAGGGCAGTTGCCGCGTCCCTGGGAGGATGAATGGGGCTCAGTGTGGCGGCTCCGCTGAGCTGAGAGCCCCCTTTGTGCTGCCTTGAGTGGCCGTTGGGAGTGCGGCTGGGGACCTGCTGGCGGGTGGCCGTCCCACGGGCCCTCCTCAGCCTGCGCTGGAGGCCAGCCCAGCCCAGTCCACACTCTGCAGCCCTGAACCCACAAGTGCCTTCCTGCCCCCAGGTCTTTGCTTGCGCTGGACCCACACCTGGATGCTACTCTTCCCTCCACTGCCTCCATCTTTTGCTTCCATGGCGTCTCTGCAGGTCTAGAATGAGCCATAGTGTCCCCAGGAACCCTGCTCTGATTTCTGTCCCCTCCGTCCTTGCCCCTCTCCCCCAGTCTATGCCTCAGTTGCCTGGTTTGGCCAGGAACCATTAGGATTGGAGACCTTCAAGTTCATAGTCAAAGGCATTGGCCCAGGCAGACCTGAGTCCAGACCCCACCTGCATGACCTTGGGGAAGTGACATCACTTCTCTGAGCCTTGTTTTTCCCATCAGTAAAATGGAACAAATACAACATCTTCACATGATCCTGTAGCGATGAAATAAAACATTTGTACTGAGAGTGTCATCCACGTTACAGACACTTTGTTTTCATGGCATGTTCCAAGCAGACCTCATGCTCCCTGAGAGAGAAACTAGCCTTATGCATCCACACTGGCCCCGTGCCTGCTATGCTCTTGGTCTCAGTCAATGCCTTTCCCCAGCTCGACCCAGTTGTCTGTCCTGGGGGCGGTGTAGGATGATGGTAAATGACCCTGGGCTTTGAGAGCAAAGAGACCTGGCTTTGAATCCCAGCTGCAGAGCTTCCTGGCTGTGTGGCCTTGGGCAGGCCTCTTTACCACTCTGAGCCTTAGTTTCCTCTTCTGTAACTTGGGCCCAATAATAGCAACCTCCTAACAGGAGTGCTGGAAAGTTCCAGGAGGATGACACATATCAACACTGCCAGGCACAGAGTCAGTACCTGGCTGATGTGGGCAGAACATCATGGTGTTACAGGGCTCAGGGCATCACACAGCCATGCTCAGTCCTGAATCTCTATCCAGTGACCCCTTGTCCCCCAGATGTGTGAGCAGCCAAGAGTAGCCCACCCATGAGCCTGTCTTCTCCTTCCCTCCATATGCCCCATCCTGTCTCTGCTCAGGGGAGGAAAATCAAGGGTTCAGGCCAGGGTCAAACAGCTGGCTAGTGGCTCCCGTTCGTACTCCGTGCCTCAGTTTCCCTACGTGTTAAATGCCAGCAGGACCAGGCGCTCTCTCAGAGCCTGGCCAGTCAGTCAGCAAACATTTACTGAGTACTGGCCAGGTGCCTGGCCTTGCCAGCTTAGCCAATCCATGGGGCAGGAACTATTTCCCCCGAACCAGCCAATCAGATGTCAAAGTCAGAGAGAAATTGTCTCTGGCCAGGACCTAACTTCTTCTCACTTCCACGTGGGCGATCTGGGCCCCAGGCCTGGGCAGCTTTCCGGAGGGCTCCGGACCACTCCTGCCTGCCTCCCTCCATCGGGCAGGGCTGAGGGCCTGAGGCTCCAAGGGGAAGTGACTGGCGGATGTTGGGGTTCAGGCCAGGGATGGCAGGGTGGAGGTGATGACACCACCGGAACCCTCTGCTGAGGCGTCTGCCCACAGGATGTGACTTAGGGAGGCTCGTGGGAAACAGGCAGGGGCCCCAGCCTGAAAGTTTCAGGGTGGAAGCCACCAAAAACCATAGCAGACCCCCCAGTGCTACCATCCCCTCCCACACCTCCCATGGGCAGCCAGGACACCAAGCCCAGCGGTGCTCCGCCCTAGCTGTGCCCCAGCTCCACCTCCAGCCTCCATGGGCGGGGTCCTGCCATGAGTAAGTGCTTGGGGTTTGTGCCAGACTGACCTGGTTCAAACACCAATACGGTCACTGGCCAGCTGTTTGACCCTGGTCAGGTGATGTCACCTCTGAGTTTCAGCGGCTATACGTATACAATGGACGTGGTAATAGTACCCACCTCGTATGCCTAAGAATTGAGATAATGCCCATGAAGTGCTAAGTGTACAGCTTAGACCATTTATTTTCCCTCAATAAATTGTAATGACTACAATTATTGATTTTCTCCCTCCTTGCCCTCTCCACCCCCAACTTAGCCAATGGCCTCTCTGCTTCTAATAGTGTTCCCATGAAGCTGACCCCAGGGCACTCCCTGACACCACACTCAACTGCCTAAAACCCTCGCTGGCTCCACAGTCCTCAGGAGAGGGCTCCCTGCTCCTCACCTGACCCTCAAGGCCCTCCCTAGCAGGACCCTCCCCCAGAACGGGGTCTCTGGGGACACCAGGATCACCAGACCCTTCAAGGCAAAGCCATATAGGGTAAGAGCTGGGAGGAAACCCCAAGGGCTTCCCGCAGTTGGAGAGGGTACTGGGGTGCAATCAGAGAGCACAGCCCTGAAGGCGGGAAGGCCAGGGAGTTAGGAAACAGGAGGGAGATTCTGGTGGCCACAGCTTGGGAGGGAGCTGGAAAGAGCTTCAATTATCACAATTTGGTTTTTCCTCAAGACAGTGGAGGGAAATACATGTAGACTCCACTTCAGAATGATCTAGTGTGCTGTGAGGGGGACAGATGGAGAGGCCAGACTGGGGAGGCCAGGACTCAGGATCCATCAGCAGAGGACTGGAAAGGAGGGTCAGATTGAAGGGTCACAGAGGAGGTAGGAAAGACAGCTTTGCTGGGGGCTGGTTGTTGAGTAGAGTTGGAGGAAGAATTGAGAGGATCCTGGAGCCAGGAAGATATGAGAAAGATGCTGGGGAAGGGTTGGTGTAGGGGAAGGGGGCACAGGGTCAGAGAAGAGATGGGTGAATGGTGGGCTTGGTGCCTGGCATAAGGACCACAGGCCTCAAACACACCACTGCTATACTCCTGGCCAGACTGTAAATAACCTGAGTCGGGAGAATCCTTTACAGATTCAGACAGACCAGGTTCGAGTCTCAGTTTTGTCACTGTGTGACATTGGGCAAATGACCTTGCTTCTCTGAGCCTCAATGTCCTCATCTGTAAAATGGGTTAGTGATCCTGACTATGGGGCTGTTGATTTAGGATTCAGCCGAACGCCCAGCACTTCCTGAGCACACAGGGGTGCTAAGTGAATGCTAGCTATTTTTGTGATTACTGATCCGGGCGCAACTCGGCGGGGACCGGGGTCCTGTGGGTCTCATCCCTGCCTCCCAGAGAACAGGGGGTCCAGGGCTGGAAGACCCGCGCGTTACTCCCTCGCCGCCTTCAGTGTCGCCGCGCCCCCTGGCGGCCGTCGGTTGCCATGTCAACGGCGGGTGGCTGGGGCCGGGGGAGGCGAGGCGGCGGCGGGGGCCGTTCTCCCTCTCAGGACCGGAGGCCGCTCCCTTGGCGCCTCCTGCCTTCGCTTGTCGGCGGGGTGGGGGGGGGG